TAAACATAGAGCTTCCACATGATCCATCAATTCTGTGCCTCAATATATTCCTAGAAGAACTGAAAACATATCTACACAAAACTTTTATACAAGTGTTGATGACTGCATTATTTATAATAATGTCATTTTGACAGAATGATAAAAATCTCTGACTCCTTTTGTAGTATTAAGTATTTGGGAACGGGAGGTCAGTGAGCATTTTCATCTCCTATTTACTCTTTCTGATTAGGGTATTTTTCTTCTTTATGTTAAAGTTCAGCTTTTAATTTGCAGTGTTTGCAAAGGTAACTTCCCTGGGTATGTGCAGCAACTTAATACTTAGAAGAAAGAAATGCCTTTGTCTGGTGTCCTGTGCTGAGCTTTTACTTAGTTTCCCTTGTCTTAGGAATTCTGTATTAGTTGTACAGTTATCTTAGGAAGGAAAATTGATTTTTGATTTAAAAATATCAATTTTTTTGCATTTGTTTTTCTAGGTATGCAATATGTTCTCTTTAATTCAGGTACCATTTGAGAATATACTTTTTGTTTCTGGTGAAATGTTAGGAACCTTAAAATAGTAGTTATTAGCATTTGAAAAGACACTAAAGACTATTTAGCTTAACTTATCTTTTTAAAAATATATGTGAAGAAATTGAAGTCCAGGTAGCAAGAAGTGACTTGTCCCATCACTGTTCCAGTATGTGGCAGAACTGAAGCTAGAAGAGTAGAAAGTTGGGATGTGGGAGAAGAGATAAGATTTATCATTCACTATGTGTTGGCATTTTACGTTTACCTTTGTACAGATTTAGTATTTACAGTATCAGTCTTAGGTATGTCATCATGCCTGCTTGGCAAGTTAGGCAACTGAAGCTCAAAGGGGTCAAGTCATCTATCAAAACTCACATAGCAGGAAGATGATAGAATGAGACTATAAATCCAGGTCTGCCTTTAAAAATCATGCTCCTTCTATTTCTCTATCCTGTTCCCTAACTAGAATCCTCTTCATCTGTTACCCCATCTATTGTTCTTTATAACATACCATCTGCCTTTCTTAATTACAGTCCCACAAAAACTCTCAGGAACCCAAGGAGAAACAAAACTAGGTTGCAGGGAGACGGTTTTAGGCTTAATATGAAGGAAGGGGTTTTTAATGGAGACATACTGAAAGTGAGGAATGGCCTGCCTCAGGAGACAGTGAATCGTTATTTAGGGTGATTAACGGTCCTGAGCAAACTGGGACTAGAGGGTTTCCTGGAATGTGAGTCTTTCAGTTTAATAACTGTTACAGTCCTTGGGCACACCAAGACAAGTTGGTTACCACTACTGTCACTAGAGGTGTGTGATCAGGATGGCTGCTAATTGTGAATGTTGCCCTTGGTTTGAGGCATCACATGAAGAGATGGTTAAGACCATCTGAGTCCTTTCTGTGACTATTGACCAAGATTTTTATATAGTTTCTGTTTTTGGACGTCTTGTCCACATTGTGATAAAATTGAGTCAAGGAGCTAGTGGTTAAATGTAGAAGAATAAGACAAAGGAATAACAAGGGAGTAGCTGGGTCTTATTGCTCTCTGTACTACAAGAACATAGTTTTATTGTTGTCATTTTCTTTTATTCAATAATTTTTCTTTTATTTCATTATAAGAACACAGTCAGATAATTAAGCTGAATTTTTGACCAAAGCTCTGGCTGTTCACTTCTACAGTTGTGTCATACCAACCAGGCTTTTTGACATCCAGCAGGTGAATCTGTGTTTACTTGTTCTGGGGAGGGATATAGCATTGTTATACAAGCTCCCCAGATGATTCTAATGTGTGGCCAGGGCTGAACATCTCTCCCTTACATCCAAGAAGGAACAGAACTAACATTTAAAAAAGGCTTTTATGTATGCTTGGAGCTGTGCATGTATTATTTAATCATAAAACAACCCTGTGAGATTGGAATTATTATTTCTGTATAAGGAAGGTGGGTCTCAGAGAGTTTGAGTAACTTGCGAAAGGTCACAGAGCTAGTAAGTCAAATGTGCTTTTTCCTCAACCACAGTGCTTCTAAAAGCAAAAAAAAAAAAAACTTAACATATTAAAATTACAAATTGTTATTTCAGAGTGGTTATGGAGATAGAATAAAATAATTCATCATTTTATGGATGAGGATATTGAGGCATGAAAGAGCTAAACTGAGAGAAATTTATCTAGGTTGGTGAGTAGTGTGGATCAGGGACGCAATCTTGTCTCAGGATTCTAACATTGCTTTTCTTTACACGTGGAGCAATTTATCTTTTGGATGTCAGGATGGTTAAACCTATGCCAATCAAAAAATGTTGTACATCACAGTAATAGAATGAAAGATAAAAATCATATGACCATCTCAATAGATGCAGAAAAGGCATTTGACAAAATGCAACATCTGTTTGTGATCAAAACTCTAAATAAATTAGGAACAGAAGGAATGTACCTCAACATAATAAAGACCATATATGACACACCCACAGCTAATATTATGCTCAATGGTGAAAGACTGAAATCTTTTCCTCTAAGATGAAGAATAAGACAAGGGTGCCCACTCTCACCACTCCTATTTAATGTAGTACTGGAAGTCCTAGTTAGAGCAGTCAGGCAAGACAAAAAATAAAAGGCATCAGAAGTAGAAAGTAAGAAGTAAAATTATCTTCATTTGCAGATGACATGATTTTGTATATAAAAAATCCTGAAGACTGCACACACACAAAAAACACTTAAATCTAATCACCAAACTCAGTAAAGTTGCAGGATACAAAATCATATGTACAAAATTGCCTGACATTTCTATATACCAACAATGAATTTTCTGAAAAAAGAAATAAAGAAAATGATTCCATTTACAATAACATCAAACAATACAATACATAGGAATAAATTTAACCAAGAAGGTGAAAAGTCTCAACACTGAAAACTACAAGAAACTATGAAAGAAAATGAAGACACAAATAAATGGAAGGAAAGCTAATGTTTATGGATTGGAAGAATTAATACTGTTATAATATCTGTACTACCTAAAGACACATATAGATTCAATGTAATACCTATCAGAATTCTACGGGCATTTTAATATTTTTACAGAAGTAGAAAAACAGTCCTAAAATTCATATGGAAGCACAAAACCCAAATAGCCAAAGCAAAACTGAGGAAAGAAGAACAAAGCTGAAGGCATCACACTTCCTGATTTCAAACTATATTTTAAGGCTATAGTAGTAAAAAAAAAGTATGGTATTAAAAACAGACACCTAGGCCAATTGGAAAGAATTGAAAGCCCATAAACAAACTCATGCCAATATTTGACAAGGGAACCAAGAGCACTCCATGGAGAAAAGACAGTTTCTTCAATGAATGGTACTGGGAAAATTGTATATTCATATATAAAAGAATGAAACTAGACCCCTCTCTTATAATACAAAAATTAACTTGAAATGGATGACAAACCTAGTTGTGAGACCTGAAGCCACAAAACTCCTAGAAGAAAACATAGGGGAAAAACTTTTTGACGTGGGTCTTGGCAATGAATTTTTGGATATGACACTTAAAACACAAAGAAACCAAAAGAATTCACAAGTGGGAAAACATCAAACTAAAAAACTTCTGCACAGGAAAGGAAATGATCAACAAAATGAAAAGGCAACATATGGAATGAAAGATAATGTTTGCAAATCATACATCTGGTAAGAGGTTACTATCCAGAATATATAAAGAACTCATCAACTTAATAACAAAACCCCAAAATAATCCAATTAAAAATGGATAAGTGAACTGAATACATATCCTCCCAAAGAAGATATTGAAACAGCTAACAGGTATATGAAAAGGGGCTGGCATAACTAATCATTAGGGGTATGTATATCAAAACCTTGGTGAGATATCACCTAATGCCTGTTAGAATGATTATCATTAAAAGATAAGAGACAAATACTTGTATGGAAAAAAAGGGAACCCTTGTGTATTGTTGGTGGTGTAAATTGGTATAACCTCTATGAAAACCATATGGAGGTTCCTCAAAAAGTTAAAAGTAGAGATATCTTATGATCCAGCAATTCCATTTTTTGGAGATATAGCAGAAGGAAATAAAATAATTTTGTTAAAGAGATATCTGTGCTCCTATTTTCATGGCACCATTATCTGTATAATATTGAAGACCTGGAAACAACCTGTGTCCATTGAAAGATGAATGGAAAAAATAAATGTGACACACACACATCCCACACCACAACACACACACACACACACACACACACACGATGGAATACTATTTAGCCACAAAAATAAAATCCAGCCATTTGTTACAAAATGGAAGGCCCTTGAGGGAATTATATTTAAGTGAGATAAGTCAGACAAGGAAAGACAAATAATGTATGATCTCACTTATATGTGGAATCTAAAAGAACCCAAACTCATAGAAAAAGAAATCAGATTTGTGATTATCAGAGGAGGGAGTGGTGGGTGGGGCAGTTGGTTAGAGGTGGTCAAAAGGTACAAACTTCAAGTTATAAGATAAATAAGAACTGGGGATGTAAAGTACAACATGATGACCGTAGTAAATATTGCAGTATGGAATATTTGAAAGTTACTAAGTACATAGATCCTAAAGGTTCTCATCATGAGAAAAAATAATTTTTGTAACTATGCGGTTATGGATGTTAACTAAACTTATTGTAATCATTTTGCAATATAAGAACATCAAGTCATTGTGCTGTATACATTAAACTTGTCCAGGGTTGTATGTCAATCATATCTCAATAAAACTGGAGGAAAAATTGGGGCAGGGGAATTGGCAAAAAAAAAAAAAAAAAGAGAGAGAGAGAGCGAGAGAGAGAATAGAAAAAGAAAAAGGACATAAACCTTTAATAGGTAGTGAACTTTTTCTTCCGTTGTCTTTTGATTTGATGCCTTCCTCTAGTGGCTTAGGCCACTGGTTTCTAAATGTTGTCTTTTGCCCAATTGCCTATCAAGTATGATGATTAATTTGATTTATCTTTTATTTTGTCCTTTCAGCTGAATCCTTCAAGGAATTTGCCGAATTGCTCAACGAGGTAGAAAACGAGAGGATGATGATGGTAGGTCACTAACACTGTGCCTGGAGCCAAAATCATGGCTGACCTTGGGGATTTTTTGTCCTCATTGGTTGGATTGATACTCTGTTGTTTTAGTATCTGTCTCATGGCAGCCCAGATACTGTAAGAACAGGAAATTGATCTTGTTATTCTATCTCAAGCTTCCACCCTCAGATGAACATTAGGTAGAGGGAAATTAGTATGGAAATTCTACCCTATTCATTTCAGTAAGACAGGATTTCAGAAGACATTAAACTTGACTGTAGAACATGTTAACAAAAATTGTGGCCTTTAGTGTTCTTAGATAATTTATTTATGTGTTTCTCTACTTTTAGAAATAATAACATGGGCTTTTTTAAAAAAATCTGACATATGATTGCTTTATTTAAATCTATGTGAAAGCATATTTCCTTTCATTTAAAGCATAATTCTTAAAATTAATGGACTTTAATATTTAGAGCAGTTTTAGTTTTTCAGAAAAATTGAGTGGAAAGTACAGAGATATTTCATATACAGAGCTGTGTGGTTCCATTTATATGTGAGTTTTTTCAACAAATATTAGAGTACTACAAGAACGAGACTGGTTGAATGTGAATATGGAACCTCAGGTACTACAGAGTAACTATAAGATTATATGCAGACTTTGGATTGCACAGGGTAGAGGGTCAGTGCTCCTAATCCTTGCACTGTTTAAAGGTAAATGGTACTTCCTTTCTCTACCTCCCCTATTAATAGATTCCCCTATTATTAAGATCTTGCAAGTATGGTACAGTTTGTTCCAGTTAATGAGCCAATACGGACACAATATTATTAACTAAACTCCATAGTTATACCAAGATTCACTGTTTGTGTTGAATATTCTATGGGCTTTGACAAATGTTTAATAACATATACTTACCATTAAATTGTCCTCATACAGACTCTTTTCACTGCTCTAAAAATCCTCCATGATTCCTCTGTCTGTCTGTGGCATCTGAATTCCTGGAAAACACTGATCTTCCTATTTACTGTGTGTTTTGCCTTTTCTAGAATGTCATATAGTTGGAGTCTTACAGTATGTAGCTTTTTCAGCTTGGCTTCTTTGACTTAGCAATATGCATTTAAAATTCCTCTATGTCTTTTCATGGCTTGATAGTCATTTCCTTTCATCATTGAATAATATGTATGCATATATTATAAGATACATTACATTATATGGGTGTACTAGGATTTTTTTCCACCTAATGAAGGATATGTTAGTTACTCTTAAGTTTTGGCAATTATGAAAAAAAGCTTCCAAAAACATTTGTGTGCAGATTTTTGTGTGGAGGTAAATTTTCAAATCTTTAGAGTAAATTCCAAGGAATGTAATTGTAAGATTGTGTGAAAGAGTATGTCTAGTTTTGTGAAAAACTGCCAAATTGTCTTCCAAAGTAACTATACCATTTTGCATTCTCATCGGCCATGTATGAGAGTTCTTGTTGCTCCATATCCTCTTCACCATTTAAAGTTGACTATGTTTTGAATTTTACCCATTTTAATATGTGTGTAATGGTATCTCACTGCTGGTTTTTTTTTTCCTTTACTAAACCATTTTTATTTGTTTTTTAAAATATTTTTATTGAAGTAAAGTCAGTTTACATTGTTGTGTCAATTTCTGGTGTGTACACCAGTCACATAGGGACATACATACATTTGTTCTCATATTCTACTTCACCATATGTTACTACAAGATATTGAATATGGTTCCCTGTGCTATACACTATAAACTTGTTGTTTATCTATTTTATATATAGTAGTTACTATCTGCAAATCTCCAACTCCCAATTTATCTCTCCCCACTCCCTTCCCCACTGATAACCATAAGTTTGTTTTCTATGTCTGTGAGTCTGTTTCTGTTTTGTAAATAAGTCCAATTTTTTTTTTTAGATTTCACATATAAGTGATATCATGTGGTATTTTTTTTTTCACTCTCTGGCATACTGCACTTAGAATGACATTTTCCATGTTCATCCATGTTGATGCAAATGGCATTTTTAAGTTCTTTTTTATGGCTGAGTAGAATTCCACTGTATAAATATATGACAACTTCTTTATCCAGACATCTGTCAATGGACATTTAGGTTGTTTCCATGTCTTGGCTACTGTAAATAGTGCTACTATGAACACTGGGGAGCATGTGTCTTTTTGAATTAAGGTTCCCTTTGGATATAAGCCCAGGAATGGGATTGCTGGATCATATGGTAAGTCTATTTTTAGTTTTTTTAGGAATATCCAGACTGTTTTCCATAACACCTGCAACAAACTACATTCCCACCAACAGTGTAGGTGGGTTCCCTTTTCTCCACACCCTCTACAACATTTATCATTTGTGGACTTTTACATGGTTGCCATTCTGACTGGTGTGAGGTGATACCTCATTATAGTTTTGATCTTCATTTATCTGATAATTGGTGATATTGAGCATTTATTCATGTCCCTTTTGGCCACTTGTATGTCTTCATTGGAAAGTTGCTTGGATAGGTCTTCTGATTTTTCTTTTGGGTTATTTGTTTTTTCTTTATTAAGTCATATGAGCTGTTTATGTATTCTGGAGGTTTAGCCATTGTTAGTCTCATCTTTTGCAAATATTTTCTCCCATTCTGTAGGTTGTCTTTTTGTTTTGCTTATAGTTTCCTTTCTGTGCAAAAGCTTATGTTTCATTGGGTCCCATTTGTTTATTTTTGCTTTAATTTCTATTGCTTGGGTAGATTACCCTAGGAGAATATTGTTGAGATTTATGTAAGATAATGTTTTGCCTATGTTTTCTTCTAAGAGGCTTATAGCGTCTTGTCTTATGTTTAAGTCTTTAAGCCATTTTGAGTTTATTTTGTATACGATGAGAGGGAGTATTCTAACTTAATTGATTTACATGCAGCTGTCCAGTTTTCCCAACACTATTTGCCGAAGATACTGTCTTTACTTCATTGTATCTTCTTGCCTCCTTTGTCAAAGACTAATTGACCAAAAGTCTGTGGGTTTATTTTTCGGTTCTCTATTCCATTCAATTGATCAATATGTCTGTTTCTGTACCAATACTATGCCGTTTTGATTACTGTAGCTCTATAGTATTGTCTGAAGACTGAGAACATTATTCCTTCAGCTTCATTCTTTTTGTTTAGAAATGCTTCAGCAATTCTGGTTTTTTTTTTTTGTGATTCCATATAAAGTTTAGGATTATTTGTTCTAATTCTGGGAACAATGTCCTAGGTAATTTGATAGGGATCACATGAAATCTGTGGATTGCTTTGGGTAGGATGGCAATTTTAATATTAATTCTTCCAATCAAGAACATGTGATATCTTTCAATTTCTTTAAGTCACTATTGATTTCCTTAGTGAATGTTTTGTAGTTTTCCACAAATAAGTCTTTCACTTCCTTTGTCAGGTTTATTCCTAAGCTTTTTATTATTTGAATGCATTTTAAAAGGGATTCTTTCTTTACTTTCGTTTTCTGGTATTTCATTGTTAGAGGAGAAAAATGCTACTGATTTCTCTATGTTGATCTTGTATCCTGCTACCTTGTCAAATTCTCTTATTAGCTTTAGTAGTTTTTGTGAGGAACTTTTAGGGTTTTCCATATATAGTATCATGTCATTCACATATAATGACAGTTTTAAATCTCTTCCAGTTTGGATCCCTTTTATTCCTTTTTCTTGCCTAATTGCCATGGCTAGGACTTCCAATACTATATTGAATAGAAGTGGTGAACATGGACATCTTTGTCTCGTTCCAGATTTCAGCAGAAGGGCTTTCAGCTTTTCCCTGTTGAGTATTATGGTGGCTGTAACTTTGTCATAAATAGCTTTTATTATGTTGAGATAGGTTCCCTCTATACCCACTTTGATAAGAGTTTTTATCATAAATTGATTTTTAACTTTATCAAATGATTTTTTTCTGCATCTATTGAAATCATCATTTGATTTTCATCCTTTCTCTTGTTGATGTGGTGGATCACATTAATTGATTTGCATATGTTGAACCATCCTTGTGTCCTGGGATGAATCCAACTTGACCATGGTGTATGATCTTTTTTATATGTTGTTGAATCCTCTTTGCTAACATTTTGTTGAGGATTTTTTGCATCTATATTCATTAATTATATTGGCCTATAGCTTTCTTTTTTGATAGTGTCTTTGTCTCACTTTGATATCAGGGTGTTGGTGGCTTCATAGAATGACTTTGGGAGTATTCCCTCCTTTTCAATCTTCTGGAAGAGTTTGAGAAGGACTGGTATGAGTTCTTTGTATGTTTGGTAGAATTCCCTGGTGAAGCTGTCCAGTCCCGGACTTTTATTTGTAGGGAGGTTTTTTATTGCTATTTCAATTTCATTTCTAGTGATCAGTTTGTTCAAGTGGTCAGTTTCTCCTTGATTAGGTCTTGGTGGACAGTATGTTTCCAGAAACTTGTCCATCTACTCTAGGTTATCCATTTTGGTTCCATATAGTTTTTCATAATATTCTCTTATGATATTCTGTATTTCTATTATATTTATTGTAATTTCTACATTTTCTTTTCTTATTTTGCTAATTTGTGCTCTCTCTTTTTTCTTCTTTGTGACTTTGGCCAGAAGTTTGTCGATTTTATTTACTTTTTCAAAGCCACTCTGTGTCTTTTGACTGGAGCATTTAGTCCATTAACATTTACAGTAATTAATGATAGATGTGTGTTTATTGCCATTTTGAACTTATCTTTGCAATTGATTTGGTATTTCCTCTTTGTTCCTTTCTTCTTCCTTTTGTGGTTTGGTAATTTTCTTTTGTATTATCATGGATTTTATTTAGTTTTTGTGACTCCCTTGTAAGTTTTTGGCTTGTGGTCACCCTTTTTTGTAAGTTTTAGCCCATTGCTATAACTGTTTTTATTAAACTCAGTGACATGATCTCAAATCCATTCTACCGAAAACAAAAAATTTTAAAAAGAAAGAAAAAATATTCTATAAATTCCTGCCTCCCTCTCCCACTCTCAATGATTTGTATGTCTTCT